TACTGAAAATAACAGATAAAGTATAAAGTTGTTTCTTAACAAATGTTTGATAACTTTCTCAACATTATAAAGATTTTGCAGGTGAAATTTCAAAATTTTCTCATGCATAAAAGTATTTTTAATCTTAAGATGAATATTACTTTGCATGATAGATAGGCAACATGTAAAAAGAAAAAATAGACATGAGAAAATCATTGCTTTATAAACCTTAAAACTTAATAAAAAAAATTATATTTTGTATATGAAAGCATTGTAATGTGTACTGATAATCTGCCAAATTTTGTTAACATTTGCTTACTAATTTAAAAGTTATATCATGAAAACTATAACAAGCACAAAATGGTTACGAGGTCGGTCCCAGGGACCGAGCCCATGCTAAAAGAGTTAATAAAAAATTAATCATATCACAAAAATTAGCAACACTTTTATATTTATTTTTTTTAAAATAAAGAACAGTGCCCAAAGAAACAGTTATAAAACACCTGAAATGACAAAATATTAGCATAAAGTAGCCTCATCCTACTCAAATAAATCAGACTGTATAAAAATAATTTGACTGTAGCTTATGACACAAAATGAAAACTACTTTTGAACTTACCTGTGTGAATAAGATGCCTTTAATGTTGCTAAAACCTAACATGTATCTGAAGGAGCTGAACAATGCATCTAAATCTTCTTTAAATCCCTCCTCATTCTGGTTACCAGTTGCTCTGTTGAAAGTATGAAAAGGTCTCATCCTTTAAGCTGACTTAACATTTGGGTTTAATTCATAATGAAAATAGTCTGGAAGAACATGCATATTACACTATTTAATCAGTTATTTACTCAATTTAGTATTTTTTCACACTTAGAATGAGAGCATCAATGAACACAGAAATAATTATCTCCAGTTACATATACGGTTGTATTCAGCTAATTTAGTTGGTATAAGGGAGACTACTGTTTGCTTGTGAACACAAATCAAAACATAACTCATTATTTTCTAAAATAAACTTTTGAGTAAGTATCTCCATTATTATATAGGAATTATAAATGAAAAGAAAAATTCAAGCTTAGAAATGTAATGAAAGAATAAGGTTTTTAAAATACAGATAAGAATAAAAAAGAAAGACAGACCTTATTAACCCTCTAAATACAGGCCTTGCTCTTCCACAAGTGTAACCAATATATGTAGTAAACTTAACATCACAGTGTTACTTATAACTCGAATTTGTGTATTATCTAAGTTTTATTTTATTACTTCCAAAATGAAAGAAACTAACAAATTATCAATCTTCATTTCTGTGTCACATGATGCATATGCATTCTGGATTTTGATCTTTTAGTTTGTATACTTTCAATATACTTTCAACTACATTGACTTATTCTAGACAATCTATAAACATCAAGGTCAAATGTACAGGTTCAACATGCTAACTTCTCCCTGTAGTAAGAAACAAATTTTATCAACCCATGACAGAAGCCCTGCCCATCTACAATTAATTTTCAAGGCAGTTTCCAAAACCAAGTATTATTGGTTGTCATACATATTTATAACCATTAAAAATAGCTTATTTTAAACTTCAAGCCTTCAAAGGTAATTTTTAAACTGATGCCAACAAACATTAGTCTAATAAAGTACTTTATAAATTACGTGTTGGTATGCAAGAAAGAGCATATTAAGGTTAAAACTGGTACTTTAGTCTCATAATTTTAAATGCTCCCCTTTTTCTTGAATGATTCACCAGGAAAATTATTCATGAACATGAGAACAACAATAAATTAAAAGGCAATGAAATTAATGGAAATTTGTTTTTATCATAAAAACATTTTAAAATGAAATTTATTTTGAAATTATGTTAAGAATTTTTTTCCCTAAGATGAACCCCTCAAATTGTTACACTCTAGGCCCAAGCCTTGAAAGCCTATCAGTTAATATACCCCTGTATGCAAGTTGATGCTCATATCATTTAACAATATTTTTTACCTTAAATAGCTTAGCAATTTACATATTATGTTTTAAAATGCATATATGAGCAGTAATTTAATTTTTGTATCAATAAAGACTTGTAGAGACAAATTAGGCTTAGGTAACTACTAGTGCACAAGTCCAAAGCTGAACGCACATGTACATATATAAGTGTATGAATATCTGTTCATGTGATGTGTCTGTCGTTGTAAAAAAAAAAAACGTCATACAAGCAAGGCAGTAAGACTATAAAATGAAAACATATCTGAGAAAGTAAACAGAAAAAATTCTGAGGATAATGAAATTGAAGATATGACAACAATTAATTCATTCAAAGAAAAAGGATATTGTTCATTTGACTTCATAATTTTCAAAATTTCATATCACTGAACATTGATGATCTAGATACAGTTAGTGTTAGAGACAATAAGAGATAAAATACAGACTTTTACTTCAAAAACCTTTTTATATTCATTTAGGTTCTAGAAGTTAAGCAAACAAAATATGAAAATTGTACAATGAAATGAAGC